TGCAGATGATATGATAATATACATAGAGAACCCCAAAAATCTCCAGAAAAAACTAATTCAACTCATCAATCAATTCAGTAAAGTGGCAGGATACAAAATCAACACGCAAAAGTCAGTAGCCTTCCTATACACAAACAATAAATCTGAAGAAGAAGAAATCAAAAAAACCACCCCTTTTATTATCGAAACAAAAAAAATCAAATATTTGGGAATAAATCTAACAAAAGAGGTAAAGGACCTATACAAAGAAAACTATAAAACACTGTTAAAAGAAATAGAAGAAGACACAAAAGAATGGAAAGACATCCCCTGCTCATGGATTGGAAGAATAAACATTATTAAAATGGCCATCCTACCAAAAGCAATATACAGATTCAATGCTATTCCAATCAAAATCTCAATGGCATTCTTCAAAGAAATAGAACAATTATTGATGAAATTCATATGGAATCACCAAAAACCCCGAATAGCCAAAGCTCTACTGAAAAAAAAAGAAGGAAATGGAGGCATCACACTCCCAGACTTCAAACTATACTACAAAGCCATAATCATCAAAACTGCATGGTATTGGAACAAGAACAGACATACAGACCAATGGAATCGAATAGAAAATCCAGAAATAAACCCACAGATTTATGGTCAACTAATCTTTGACAAAGGAGCAAAGACTATGCATTGGAGCAAAGAAAGTTTGTTCAATAAATGGTGCTGGGAAAACTGGGTCGCTACATGCAAAAGAATGAAGCTTGACCACTACCTCACACCATACACAAAAATCAACTCAAAATGGATTAAAGAACTAGACATAAGACCTGAAACCATAAAATACATAGAAGGAAATATAGGCGAAACACTACGGGATTTGCACATCAAAGACATCTTTACAGACACATCACCCAAAGCAGTGATAGTGAAGACAAAGATAAACAGCTGGGACTACATCAAATTAAAGAGCTTCTGCACAGCAAAAGAGACAATAACAAAACAAAGAGAAACCCCACCAACTGGGAGAACATTTTTGCACCCAACACTAATGATAAAGGACTGATCACAAAAATCTGCAAAGAGCTGATGAGACTCAGCAACAACAAAGAAAATAATCCAGTCAAAAAATGGGCAGAAGAGCTAAAAAGAAACTTCTCTGAAGAGGAAATGCAAATGGCCAACAGACATATGAAAAAATGTTCAACATCACTTGTCATCAGGGAAATGCAAATCAAAACTACCATGAGATACCATCTCACACCAGTGAGAATGGCACATATTAAAAAAACTAGCAACAACAAATGTTGGCGAGGATGTGGAGAAAAAGGAACTCTTGTGCACTGTTGGTGGGAGTGCAAACTGGTCCAACCACTATGGAGAGCTGTGTGGAGATTTCTGGACCTACTAAACATAGAGCTTCCATTTGATCCAGCAATTCCACTCCTAGGTATTTACCCAAAGGACACAGAAACATCAATTCCAAAGAGCACCTGCACTCCTATGTTTAGCAGCACTGTTTACAATAGCTAAGCTTTGGAAACAGCCCAAATGCCCAAAAATAGATGACTGGATCAAGAAGATGTGGTACATATATACCATGGAATATTACTCAGCATTCAAAAAAGATAAACACATGCAATTTGCAGCAACATGGATGGCACTGGAAGGGATCATGCTCAGCGAAATAAGCCAAAAAGAAAAAGAAAAATACGGATGGTCTCACTCATAGCAGGAATCTAGAAAACTTAAATAAGGGACCAGGAAAATGAATAAAGAAAGTGAAAATCAAAATCAACAAAAACTTGAACCAAGACACTTTTTGGGGGGTGGGGGGCGGGAGGGGAAGGATTGGGTCAGAATGGGGCGTTTGCAATTGTATGGGGGAATATAAAAATAAAATTTAATATTTAAAAAAAAAAAAAAAAAAAACTACACAATATCTCTGATATTGTCTCTAGCATTATAGTCCCATTAACCATTAAAATAAATAAATAAAAGAATAAATGAATGAAAAAAATAAATGAATTAACACATGTGACTGCATGAATATATTGATGATTAATATGTACATATAAGAAAATATCAATGAGAGAAACAGCACTTAAAATATGCCCCAAACTCATGTACTGAGAGAAAATGACTAAGGTATGAGATTATCACATTATGTAATCACAAAATGGATGTTATACTTGCACCAACATTCTCCTTATCATTCTAGAAAAGTTCATAGAAATAATTTTAAAGCTTGATGTCATTGTTTAAGGATATTTTCTTAAGTAGAGGTGCTTAATTGGGATACAAGAGGACAAACATGGGTCCACTACACAGATTGAACTACATAGTAGTAACTGGTATCACCAGGAGTCCAGAATAAGTGAATTGAAATTGTGAAGAATAAAGAACGTCAAAAGATGACTTTTGGCCATTGGAATGAATACTCAACAGGGTCTTCCAAGAGACATTCATGGAAAAGATTAGCTCCCGTGTCACACTCACTCTCACCCACTGTACAATGTGGACAGATAGTTTCCTACTGAAATTGATTCTGAATTACCAAGACATTTCCCAGTAGTTATCTTCCTCAACCTTTGTACACACACACCTCAAAGTTCACAATGGGTTCCCAGAAGAGAAATTACCTATTTTTACAGTCTGCTCCACTTCATCATTAAGGATACACTTCTATTGTCCATAGCTCTAGCTTGCAGAGCTGACACTCAAGGAAAAATCAAACCCATATATACATTTCAGATACAAAGTTGTTTGCAATATATTTGTTGAGCATAGGTGGAACTCCCTGAGCCCCAAGTTGTATATGATCTCTATAACGGCAAACACTCACCTGTCATAACGGAAGTTACCACAAATTCTTCAAAGAACATCTCACTGAAAGACAGACACACAAGAAGAATGAAAGACCTAAGGATTGGCTCTGATGTTGGATTGTTTTGAGAATATAAAATTATAAAAACACATCTAAGCCCTGACCATATCTTGACGTGTATCTTCCAGGCGAGCTACACAAGATATGATCAAGTAATTTTTTGCCTCTTGCCACACAGTCACTGGTCAAGGAGGCAAACAATGATCCTCAACATGCTACCAATGATCAGAACTTAATTGGGCCTCAGATGGGTCCTACAAGATTTTTATTTGGCCATCACAGCTCCTCAGCCATTTTTTCTCTTCATTGACCCAAGTAAGCAGTCTGTACATCTCAATATAATTCCCACGAAATATACATACCATAGGTCATTCTGGAAATGCAGATCCAGCGAGGGTTGAATTTCTGTTTTTTTGCTGTTAGACATGGAATGTCCACTTTGTAGCAGGATCAGCAGGAAAAAATAGAGGCAACTGTTCCTTGGTAAAGAAAAGGAGACATCTGTTGGGAAATCTACTTAATTACTTGAACCTTGAGTTTCAAACATAAACTCCTGTACATATATATTCTGTTCAATAAATCAGTATATAGTTAGAATTAATGCATAGCACAATAACACAGACATTCTTATGAAATACAAAATACATTTAATACATCAATCAATTAATTATTCAGAATCAATGGAGGAGGTCAAAAACTCCTGATTTCACTTTACACAGAGGCCCAGCACTTAGGCTTCAATCACAGAGTTTCTTCTCTGTAGGTGACCGATATTCACCTTCCCAGTAACTCCACACCCTCATTTCTTGTCTATGTGCTCAAAAAGCAGTAGTTATAATACTCAGTAGGGCTCAATGTCCTTTTGTGCACACACACGCACACGCATGCACACACACAATGATCTTGGAATTAATTCATTAGAAACTGGTGTCAGGTATCCTAAATATGTGCCCACCTTCACTCATCAGGCAAACTCCAGCAGGACCCATTTCGACATGGGTGCCAAAACTAATTTCTCTTTTGCGAAGTGCCTCACAATTCCTGACAAAATATCCCAATAATGAATGCAAATGTCCACCAATTTCCATTCTCAGAATCCAGCAAAACTGATATCACAATGGTTCTCAAACATGGTTCTCAGAATTGTTGCACCTTGCTATCCAGTGCATTCAAATATGACATTTCCTGCTTATACTAGCATTGTTTCAGGCTTTTGGTCTTGTTGTGAAGAACAAATTTGGGATATAGCTGGCCTGATTTGGTTACTCACTAAGTCAAAGACCAGTCAGGAATAACAGACAAACCCAAGAGTATAGGATTTATTAAATTGAGGAGCTGAAGGGGAACCCATCTCAAGGACCTGCCATTCTGAGAGCCAAAAGTTCAAACGGCCCTCCAGCTAAGTACCATGGATGGATATATTTGTCAATATCACCTTGTTGATATTGTGGGTATGATTATTCACTCTAAGAATAGTCTCTGAGACATTAATGCAGAACACAACAGCTACCATATCTTAAGAATGTTTGACTTCCTGGGTCTCAACTTTCTTCACTCAAGTGTTAATGTGGTATGGGGGAACAAAACAATAAATATTCCTCCTTTTACAAGTGTGATCACCACATAAGGTATAGGATATGATTTGTCTGTCCAGAGTTGTAATACTTAATGGTGGACCTTCATGAGAAATTATAGGGTATAATATAGGATCTATTTTCCTATATCACATATAGGATCTAATTTCCCAAAAGAAATAACATTACCTATTATTTTAACAATGATCTTGCCCACAGGACATGTCTCAGGTCTGTCTGTGTGAGGGCAGATATCCACTCACCTCGGGAGACTCAGCATGTGTTGAAACCCTCTGCAGAACTTTTCACTGAAAGACACAAAGAGAGAAGAGATACTAAGGAATGGAGCCTCCAGTGATGAGGTATGAATTAAAAACACAAGCTACACCATGAAAAGGTCTTCACCAGATGAAGCCAATAATCAGGCAGAGAGCCACACAGAATTTCGTCAAGCAATTGTTTATCTCAAACAAAATACGATTGTTTATCTCAAACAAAATACGATTTCAACAGAAGGAAAATACACCCAACCATTGTGCCCCAAGAAGTAACCTACTGGGCCTCAGATGACACCTGCAAGAGATTTTTGGTCACCATCTCTCTTAAGCCATTATGAGTTCTCATCATTGACCCAAATAAGTTACTCTGCAATTGTCTATAACATGTTCCCAAACATTGTCTCCTGAATATGCTTACCACAGCTGCATTTTGCAGAATGGAATACAGGTGTCTATGAGTTCCCGTGTCATCCAGTTGAAGGAAGTTCCCAGGGTCAGCATGCAGATTGGGTACTTCATGGTGACAGATGCTAGGTAGAGTGTAGGACAGCTGCAAAAAAAAAACAAACAAAAAAAAACTACTCACCTGCTATGGAATTGTGTCTTTAGTATGCAATTCCTTTACATTTCCATTAAGAACTAATTATATATATACTAATATATATTATATATAGTAATATATATTGCCATATATACTAATATATAGTATATATAAATATATACTAATATATATTAATATATATATTAGTATATATTAATATATGTTAATATATATACTAATATATAAATATATATGTACAATACAATAAATGAATGAATGAAAAAATAAATGAAAACCACAAATTTTAATAAATAATATATCAGTAATGAAGGTATAAATATATGCATTTTAAAAAACATCAATGAGAAAAGCACAGCAAACTAACTGACCTGATTTGGGCCTCTTATAAAATATATGTCCTAAGAAAAAATAAACAACTTAGTCATGAATGGGACTTGAAAACATTATCGTACAGTGGAGGTTAAGTTGCTCCATTGTTCTCAACATGATTCTATGAAAGTTCATAGAAGCCTTATTTTTTAAGCTGGGATGGTTTTGTTTAATCATCTTTTCTTAAAGAGAAGAACTTTAACTGGGATTTAAGTGGACCTATTGGGCCTACTATACAAAAGGGTCTACTAAGGAAGAGCTACCATCACCTGGAGCCCAGGAGTCTTGGAATTAACATACAGATGACCTTTCAATCCTCAGAAGTGGCTTTTGGCCATTAGAATGAAAGTTCAACAGGGTCTTCCAAGACATCCATGAAAGAGATCAGTTCCTGTGTCTCATATGCCCCATCCACACCTGTACACAATGGACAGGTACATTACCTATGAAGATTGATTCTGAGACTTTTATGCATATCCCAGCTTTTATCTTCCCTAAAGCATCATGGGGTTTGGCCTCAACCTTTGCACACACAGACCTCAGTGCAGAAAGTGGGTGTACAGAGGAGAAATATTTTATTTTTACAGTCTGCTCCATTTCAGCATTATGGATACATTTTCACTGTCCATAGCTCTAGTTTGCAGAACTAACACTCAAGGAGAAATCAAAATTACAAGTGTATTGCAGATATAAAGTATTGGAATATGCTTATTGATTTAAGGCTCGATTCCCACTAGCTCACTGATGTGTGTTATCTTTATCCATGATGACGTATATACTCTCACCAGTGATAATTGAGGCCACAGCTAAACCTTCAAAAGACCAGCTCACTGAAAAACACACATGAAGCATAAAGGAGCTAAAGAATCAATTTGATTATGGACTGATTGAGGACATACAAATAAAAAAATGGATGGAACTAGAAGGAATTATGCTCAGTGAAATATGCCAGAAGGAAGAAGAAAAATATAAGATGGTTTCACTTATAGGAGGAATATAGGGGAACCTAATAAGGGATCAGGGAAATAATAATAATAATAAATAAATAAAACAAAATTAACAGGCAACTATAAATCAGAGACATTTTGTAGGGGAGAGGGAGGGGGATCAAAACAGGGGAGGGAAGAGCACAAGGGCCTATGGTGATGTGATACGGGTGATGTGGTGCTGGGAATTTTACAGGGACCACATTTGAGAAGAGAAAGCATACATTGTGCAAAAATGAACACTGATATAAAATAGAAATAAATAAATAATAAATAAATAACAAGCCTGAAGCTCGAGCGTATCTTGTCATGACATCGCCCATAGTAGGATTAGAGCCATACAAGATGCGCTCAATTTTTAGCCTCCAATCACAAATACCTTTAGTCAAGGAGGAAAATAAAGATCCCCAACATACCGCCAAGGATCATCATCTAACTGGGCCTCAGATGAGTCCTGTAAGAGTTTGATGTTTTGGCCATCATCTCCTCAGCCATTGTTTTTTCTCATCATGGACCCAATTAAGGCTCTTTGAACATCTTAATGGTATTTCCCTTAATTACACTTAACCAAATATGGATGCAGAAAATGAAGTATCAAAGAGGGTATGAATTTCTGTGTTTCCTACATGCTGGACATTTTGCTGTCAGTTTATACCAGGAATAGCAGGAAAAAAAGGAGATCATGGCAACAGTTCCTTTGTAGAGATGAGGAAAAGAATTGTCAAGAAAAATTACCCATCACTCAGAGTATCGTGCCTTAAACAAATCTTACAGGTTTCACTGGAGTATTCAATAACTCAATTAGTAAGTAGTGAATTAATAGTAAGGATAATGCATAAACATGAACATATAAATGCTGATGAATTACAACACACATTTTACATATTAGTCAATCATCAAAGATCAATTAAGAACACCTACTTCTCTTGATTTCCCTCTTAGTGGAAATTATAGAAGTAGGCTTCTACAGTCAGAAATATCTCCTGTCAGCTTCTGAAGTTTCATTTCTTGTCTTTACATAAATGAATAGACTTGAAATACTAGTTGGTGTCTAATGACCATGAGCACACCAAAATATCCATGGCATTCATTCTTTATAAAACTGGTATCAGGAAACATCAAATTGTGCTCACATTCATGTAGGTAAAATCTTGCACTGTCAACTTTACCATGTTTCCCAAAATTACTTATCTTTTCAGTGGCCCTCACAAGTCCAATATCTCCCAATCAGCAATGCAAATACCCACCATCAGGATGTAAGTTCTCACTCCTATATTTTGGGCAAATGTGATATCATGATATTTTGTTCTAGAGTCTTCTCAGCATCAATTCTAAGTAATTCTTTCAAATGTATTCTTTCTTGAGGAGTATGCAATTTTCTAGGGACATGTATCCCGTTGTGAAGCATTGAAATTGCATGACTACTCCCTGATTGGTGAATACTAGTTGAAAGGTCAGTCACAAATAAGTAACATAACCAAGTTCAAAGGAGTCATTAAATTTCCATGTTGTAGACAACCCATCCACAGACCATGCCATTCTGAGAGCTAAAAGTTCAAGAGGGTCCTCATTAATGCCATGGATGAATTCATTTCTGAGTCTATCCTCTACATATTAGGAGCCTCAATCTCACTATGGGAATTGTTTTGCAGACACCAATGTGGAAGCCAGTAGTTATCATGTCTTAAGTATGTAGGAGTTACTGGCCATATATGAATATTATGTGCAGGACCATAGCAGTAAAAATGACCTCTTCTTGCAGTATGATTATCACATAATGCATAAAGTTTGGCCACTCACAGTATCAATCTCTTTAAGATGACTCATGAGAAATCACCCCAAGTGGTACCTAGACTCCCAAAAGTTGTGTAATACTTTATAGCTTAAAAATATTCTCACCCAAGGGGGTGGGGGAAGCAAATATTGTTTAAAAATGAACAATAATGTAAAAAATAAATAAATATAAATAAATAAATAAATAATCACACACAGACTAAAAAAAAATGTTCTCATGCAGAGTTGTTGGTGAGTACTCTTTTGTGGTAATATTTGATCAGGTACTCCAGTATTACCTTAGATAAAAATAAAAATAAAGCACAAGATAATCCATTGGAAAATAAAAAAATAAGCTATGTGAAATCTTCTAGTGTAGGCTTTGAAATTAAAACACAGTTTTTCTCTGTGGTAAATACATTCAGTAGATGTTCTGAACTAACATGGCATTCCCAGATTAAATTCAACATTATTACAATGAATTATTTTTCTATTGGTAAACATTTTGCTCCTTTTGGTTTAGGATATTTGCATCTTTAGATCGACATATGAATTTCCTTTATCTTTTTTAAAAATTAAGTTCATTTATGTAACTTTATTTACAAAAAAGAAAACAATCTCTCCCAAAGTCCATGTGCCATGAGATGTGTGTAAGAGGACAGACATGCACTCACCTTAGATGACTAAGGACATGGTAAAAACCTCTATGGAAGATCTCACTGAAAGACAGAAGGAGAGAAACAGAGCAAATGAATCCATCCACTGAGGCCACTAATGGTGTCAAATGATTATAAACACAAGCCTAAACTATGAGCAATTCTTTCCCATGGTGAAAGCCATCAACAGAAAGAAACACTTATGATCCTTTCAAGCAATTGTTTGTTCAAACAAAATACCAGTTCTACACAAAACAGTACAGGTCTCCAACATTCTTCTCCAAGAGAGTAACTTATTGGGCCTCAGATGACACCACCCATGACACATTTTTGTCACCATCTCTCTTAAGACATTAGTGTTCTCATCATTGACCCAAGTAGAGCACTCTGCACGTACCCATAATCTTACACCTAATTATGCTTACCACAGCTGGATTCTGCAGATTGGAACATCAGGTAAAAATGAGTGTCTCGTCTTCCAGGCTGGAAATTTGTCTAGCAATATTTTTACCAGCTCAGGAGGAACATAGGTACATCGGGGCAACAGTGACTCTAAACAGGATAGATGAACAGCTGTTAAGAAAATACTCAATCCTTTTTAGAAGTGTGACTTAAACATGTGCTTCCATCATACTACAGAAGCATTTAAAAAATAAGTATCATATTAAATAAATGAATCAACTAACATAAATGAAAAAATAAACAAATGAACAAACACATAAATGAACATATTCACATATAAATGAATGAAGATACATATATACACTCAATAAAACATCAATAAGAGAAACCGAGTTAAGGAATTAACACACCTGTGGCCTTGTATGAGAATACATGGACAAAGATCCTTTGATTAAGTCATGATTCAGTTGTGATCAAATGATCTTACTCTACAGATAAACTATGGCTCCAAGTTTCTCAACATCACTGCTAGCAAATATCATGAGGAGGGTTCTTTCATGAGAGGATGGCATGGTTGAGGCAGCCTTTCCTTGAGGAGAGGAATTGT